GGATGGCATGGGCCGGAATAGGCTAACCAACCTTGTTTCTGGCCTTTCCGGCGGTGTCTCTGACGGTTCTTCGGGCATCATCTACCTTTTCCTTGGCCATATCGACGTACTCATTATCACTGAGGTCTTCAGCGAGCTCTTCAGCCTGTAAAGGTACCAGATTGGTTATACCAGATTAGTACCCATATGGCGCGAACCCTGGGTTAAACTTACCCTATCTTTAGCACTTCTGGCTGTGTTCTTGATGCCTTGCCCAGCACTGTTCAACTTTTCCTTGGCTGTGTCCAGGTTCACATTCTCCCTGATATCATCCACGAGCTCTCCAGCCTGCGAAACCGACGGATTAGATGATTCGGATGGCATGGACCGGAATGGGCTAACCAACCTTGTTTCTGGCCTTTCCGGCGGTGTCTCTAACGGTTCTTCGGGCATCATCTACCTTTTCCTTGGCCATATCGACGTACTCATTATCACTGAGGTCTTCAGCGAGCTCTTCAGCCTGTAAAGGTACCAGATTGGTTATACCAGATTAGTTACCCATATGGCGCGAACCCTGGGTTGAACTTACCCTATCTTTAGCACTTCTGGCTGTGTTCTTGATGCCTTGCCCAGCACTGTTCAACTTTTCCTTGGCTGTGTCCAGGTTCACATTCTCCCTGATATCATCCACGAGCTCTCCAGCCTGCGAAATCGACGGATTAGATGATTCGGATGGCATGGGGACGGAATGAGGCTAACCAACCTTGTTTCTGGCCTTTCCGGCGGTGTCTCTGAACGGTTCTTCGGGCATCATCTACCTTTTCCTTGGCCATATCGACGTACTCATTATCACTGAGGTCTTCAGCGAGCTCTTCAGCCTGTAAAGGTACCAGATTGGTATACCCATATGGCGCACAACCCTGGGTTGAACTTACCCTGTCTTTAGCACTTCTGGCTGTGTTCTTGATGCCTTGCCCAGCACTGTTCAACTTTTCCTTGGCTGTGTCCCAGGTTCACATTTTCCTATCTTCCTTCATCTCCTCAGCCTGCAAAGTGCATAGTAGAATGTTGGTCACACACACCAATTTCTGGGCGAATCTTACCTTATTTCTGGCCCTTCCAGCGGTGTCTTTGATGCCTTGTCCAGCATCATTTAGCTTTTGCTTAGCTGCATCGACGTACTCATTGTTGGCAATGTCGTCAGCGAGCTCTCCAGCCTGCAGAGGGAGGAGTTAAGGTAGCTATTTTAAGGTTTAGGGTTTACCTTGATAGGTTTAGTTTTTTGGATGGTCTAGGGGGACTTACCTTGTCTCTGGCGCTTTCGGCCGTTTCCTTAATGCCTCTTCCAGCATCGCTCAACTTTTGTTTGACAGCTTCTTGATTTTCTTCGCTGCTTCTTGTTTTCTTCGCTGGTAACTCGGTCCTTGATCTCTATGGGCCTAAAAATCTTGAGTGAGGGTGCTAATTTTGCAATCTGGATCGAGGGGGTGGGTAGACTGCAGCTCACCTTATTGCCGGCCATTTCTGCAACGGTTTTGATCGCATGTCCAGCCTCGCTCAATTTTTGCTTGTAGTATTCCATGTACTCGTCAGTGGTATATTCATCCTTGATTTCTGCGGCCTAAAAACTTCAGGATTAAACAGTGTACGGTATTGTGGGTGTACGGTGGCGTCGGATGTCGATCGCCCTAACCTTATCTACTATCTACGGCTTTTCCAGCTACATCTTTCGCTAATTCTGAGGCCTCACTCAACTTCTCCTTGTAATACTCCATGTATTCTTCAGTGGTGTAATGGTCCTTGATCTCCATGGCCTATAAAAATGTAAATAGAGGGTCGTATTCATCGGAACGGGCGAGGAAATACTCTCCAGTGAAGTTTGTGAGAACCAATGCGCTCACCTTTCTGCCGGCCATGGCTGCAGCGGCGCTTAAAGCACTCACGGCCTGATGGGGCGTCTCCAGCCTGAGCCAATTTCCTCCTTAAGGCGTACTCCTTTGTTTTTCTTCAGTCTAACGTCGTCCTTATGATCTCTCCGCCTGAAAAGTTATGGTGGTGGGGAATTCTGGCGTTGGCAAAGCTAGTAAACTGTGAAGAACTCAGATTGAAAACCAGTTCTGCTGCAGGCCAAAGAAAACCCACCATATTGCCGGCGGCTCCTGCGGCGTCTCTGAGAGTACTGCCAGCAGTTCCTGCGGCGTCTCTGAGAGTACTGCCAGCCGTTCCTGCGGCATATCCTGCAGCGTCCTTGATAGCGCCTCCGGCATTCATCAGCTTTTCCTTAGCCATATCGGTGTATCCGCTGTTGGCAACGTCATCCTTGATCTCTTCCGCCTGAACCACACCTTAGAGTGAAGCAATGGAAACATGGCCCTACAACGCACTTACCTTATCTCTAGCATTTCCGGCCGTGTTCTTGATCTTTCTTCCTGCCTCATCCAACTTTTCTTTGCCCTGCTCTTTTAGGTCTTCAGCCTATAAATATCATACGTTGTAACCACCTCTTAGGATTTGCCAGTAGAATAGAGAGGTATATACGGTAGTTGATTACAGATGCTGTCCGTCAGGAGTGCGTAATCAATCTTGTTAGGGCCGAGGTTTCGGTGCCTTCACCTCTTCAGAGCCTGGAAAAAGACTTGGGACTAAGCGTTCTTACCTTGTCTCTAGCATTGCCGGCCGTGTTCTTGATCTTTCTTCCTGCCTTATCCAACTTTTCTTCAGCCATATCTTTACCCTCCTCTTTCAGGTCTTCGGCCTATAAATCACCATTATACTACGCTGGTGGCTGGACGAATCACTGTGAAACTCACCTCATTGCTTGCCAGACCCACGACACTTCCGATGGCGCTTGCTGCGTTACTCAATTTTTCCTTGGCCATTTCCCAGTAACCGGCATTTTCCATATCCTCCTTCATCTCCTCAGCCTTCAAAAAGACCAATTAGGCGTGTTCTTCAGGGCGAAAATTGCCTTCGAAAACTCACCTTCTCTCCGGCCTTTCCAGCGGTGTCTCTGATTCCTCTTCCAGCTTCATTCATCTTTTCCTTGGCCGTTTCTACGTAATCATTGTCAGTCATTTCATCCAAATACTCGCCAGCCTTTAAAAAATGCAAACTTAATGCCTCGATTTTGCCGCCAATTTTTCCGCCAGCTAATTTTCAACAACTTCACACCTTATTTTTGGCTCTTCCAGCGGTGTCCTTATGTCTCTTCCTGCTTGCTTCATCCGATCCTTCACCTTTTCTACTCCATCACAGGAGACGTCATCCTTCATCTCTCCAGCCTTAAAGCAAGAACTTTAAAATTGCCTACGTAAAAATAACAAAAATATAAGAGAACCTCAAAAGTCCAAAATAAAGTCCTAAAAAAAGTCCAAATTTTACGCTGGAATTGTGAGCTTGAATGCTCACCTCATTACTGACATTCTTGATGGCGTCTTTAATTCCTCCTCCGGCATCTCCCATCTTTTCCATAACCATTTCCCTGCTTTCCTTGCTTAGAGGACACCATGACTAAAATCATTGTTATTTAGCTCTGGTGTATGTAGCGCTACTTTCTCAGCGCTTTTCGATTCTCTTGTTATTTAGCCCATAAGGGCCCTAGGAACAACAAGCGCTGGGCCTTCAAGGTTACCGCCTGCAACGGCACTTTTGCATTACCTGAAATTTCCCTTCCCTGTGTTCTACCGCGAGTGGCTAGAGACCTCGAATCAGACGAAATTAGGTACGGCCGAAATGGCTATTGAACCACATCCCAAGGAGGAAGATGAGCGCCCTTGAACAGACTAAGCTCACGGAGAGGGAACCTGGCTGGCGTGAGCTATTAAAGTGTGGCAAAACTCCGGGAACTATGTGCAGGGTACACTGAAGTTAGTGAGCGCCGGAAATGTGCACGCCGCAGGACTAAATGATTTAGGGATCTCAAGCAGTCACTAACCCAAGCTACAAAGAGCCCTACATTCGTCCAGTGTCTCCCAAGAAAGGCTAATCCTCTTTTTGACAAGCGGCTGCACCCAAAAAGTGTAGAAGAAGCCGAAGGACAGACACGGGCCAAATTCTATAGGGCTGGAGGACGCATACCAGAATGAGCAAATAAACTAGATGGGGATCAAACGGCGACTTCTGATTGCTCAAATGGAACCTATCTGAATTCGCGAGCGCGAAACTGTTTGGTGAGGTGGATATAAAGAAATGACGCAGTGGAATGGCTCAAACAAGCTATGTTTTCTACCAGTGCAGAAGGACTTTGCCACCTTACCTACTGCTGACTTTGCCCCCGCCCGTTATTCCTGCTACACTTTGCCCCCCGCCCCCCCTTAATTCTGGCTGACTTTGGCCTCTCTGTTCCTATCCTCCTTGCAGGAGGAACAACAATGTCGAGGCAACCTAGACAGCTGGTTGAGGAAGCAGACGAGCGGGCTTACTAAGGAAGATTATTAACACATTTGCTAATTTAGCAAATCCTAAGTATAGAAAACCTTAACTATGAGAAGAAATGAGTTTGGCCCTTCGCAGAACTCAGTGGGTCACAGAAAAAGAGGGAAGGTGAAAACTTGATGAATAGCAGAAAAGCTGAGAAACGGTCAAGGAATAGGATGGCGTCTGAGTCAAAGGAAATCTCTTTAGCCAACAAATAAGTCAATGAAACCTTATGATACCTTTGGGGCTTGGGAATGAATGGCCGAATACAGTATTCGGCCATTGGCCCATGGCTACTTCTTCGTAGAAAGAAGCAGCCAATTATAGAGTTAGAGAAATAATCAGACTTCAAAAACAAAGAGGTAAAAACAAGGAAGGATATTAAGCTCACGTCGTCTCGATCACCGGTGTACTGTTCGGCTCCTGTACGATCACAGGAACAAAATGCGACTGTCGCCACGGTGGCGACTAATACGAGCGTAGTAGTAATTTTCATGGTTAGCTTTGGTTCTTGCACGCTCTTGCTTCTCTCGCCTTATATATGCGGGACCGCTGCAAATAGCTCCTCCTCGAGTCACAAGGTCCGGCCCCGCCCCCAATGACGAGCACGTAAAATAGAAGCAGTTCACGTGCGCGCGGCGCGGTTGTTGTGGCTCCGCCCAGATGTGGTCTTCTAAAATCACCATCACGTGTGAGGCTCTGCAGCAGGCCGCTGAATGTTTACTGGTTCAACATGGTAAACAAGAATGCGTCAACAGATCTTTGGTGTTTGGTGTCTTATTCGCTCGTTAACAAAGGCACTGAAGCCCGGGTAATCGACGAGCCGTGGAACTGCTAATAAAAACACCACGGGTAAGGGGTCGGTGACCATTAGGGGCGCGCCATGATTTTGAATTTCGAACGGTTTTACAAGCTCAACGCACCACAAGTGGGAAGAGCCGGTCTGTGTCCAAGAAATGCTTGCTGTAGCAACTCATTGATAGTCTTCGAGAAATGAGCACTAACTGCTCGGAGAAAGTCGATCCTGGGACTCATATCTGCTCAGCGCGACCATTTAAGCCACTGCGCTATACCAAACCGATGCTTCGGTTACAAATCCGAAGATCAAATCGATGGTATGGTGCAATAAAATCCTTACAGGTATGAGGTTTGTTAGGTAAGAGCTGCTGCTTTCTTACCACTGCCTAATAGGGGT